CTACGCATGGACGGACTCGCGCGACCAACGAGCGCTTGGAATGGCTTTGAACAGATCAACAACTCTCGGCGAGAGGGGACGGGGGAGGAAATCGTGTTCTCAGAGGCGAGAAACAAGCGGCAACCTTTAGGCAGAATGAGGAAATCCCGCCGAGATATAAAAAAAATGACCTTACAAATCGCATCGCTAAACAGCGGATTCCTTCCTCCACTTTTACTACTCGACAATCTCTATAGTAACACAGGCAAATAAAATCTCATAAAAACACAATTTTCCCCACAGAATTTCCGAAGAATCGAGAACCTCCTACGAATTGTCGAATATGTCCTGGTTAATGGGCTGTGATCCCCCAAAGACACAAGTGCAGAACGATAGAAACAAACACCTTGCAGTTACTGTGGTTGTACAAACACAAGGAAACCGCGCCATTAAGAGCGTTTTTAATCTAAAGTATATTTTTTTTAAAATTTCCAATACATGCGAGCAGTCAATATTTTTTTAAACTGCAGATAATCTTTCAGTTAAAAGTATTTTAGGCATCGACCTTCATTCCCGACCATCACCTTGTTATAGTTCAGTCGCAAAACAATTATTTCATCCAACTCGCAATTTTTAGATCTAATGAATTTAATGAGTGCATTGGCATTCTAGAAAATTGTCATTTCATCTTTAAAGACGCGTTCACAAGGAATCTGCCCTGTTCTCAATAAGAATGATCTACTTAATTATCAATTGAAACAATAGAACTAGTTAGATTAAAACTCTTCATAAATGAATTTACTAGCTTAATTCGCTCAGTCTTCGTGTGTACGGAAGAGAAAGGGGACGATACAAAGTAAGAAGAGAACTAATTGAATGACATTCACAGTTGCAACTGCCTGGCACGTTCCCGGAATGGCCAGAGAAATCTTCTAGAAAAACAATCCTAGAACCTGGTAAGAACTTCGAATGATCAAGGGTCCATTTATGTAGGTCACTATTGAAAGTAGAGGAAAGTAGATTAGTTCACAAAAGTAATTACATCACTTGATCATAAACATGGAAACCATTCCTATAAATGAATGCATTTACTGCATTACACGTAATTTGCACATTAAGCAGAACTGATTTAAATTAAATCCCTAACAAAATTAAAACTAGTACTGATCCTTATTGACGATTTGTTCACTGACGAATATCAAAAAGACCGAAATAGAATAAAACAATGTGCATAATATTTCAGTACAACTAGCATGAATTTTTTTATGAAATACTGTTATATCATACCTACATTTTATGTTTTCTCTTTTCTTTTATTTGCTGTGTTTCAATGTTAAGTAGTCAGTTTTCTGGACACCGGTATCAAATGTTGCAACGTACATGTAGTTCTGATTACTTCAAAACTATTTACTGCACGATCTATAAAGCAAACAAGATGATCATACACAAAACTCACATCCGAATCGGCGAAGCTTTGCAAAAGCATTCAGACATTGCGAGGTCCGATGCAGTTTCTTATACAACAGTCTCAAGTAACTGAATTATTCCAGAATTGCTATGAGTTTCAATCTCAAAATAATTCATATTAGTACCACATAAACAGTACGAGAATTACATTACGCAATTCACAAAATTGAATGCTGACAATGATGCAATGATGTTAACAAAGATGTATCGAGGAAGAATATATTGAGCAATTTATTCTAAAATTACTAGAATTCTTTGTCTCTTGCAAATAAAATATTTCTAAATCGTTTTCACACTTGCACTAATATTCATATGGGTATACTGGAATTATTTCTGTTATACTGTGTTCCTGAATAAATCTTAAGCCTGTCTCTTCGTTTAATGAACGTCGTACAAATACACGGAATTAAACGAATCCAAAACCACACAATTAAATACAAAATTAAATAAACCACATCTGAAATACCAATTGCACTCTTTCCCGTCTACCGTTTTTGCACACTTTCTCCTATCTCATGTCGTGGGGAGTCTATTCGGGCACAGAGACAGGTTAAGGCATAAGACTCAAATCTTCTCCAGCTCAAGCGAACTACCTACCACTTCGTCTCTAAAAACATTTCAGATTTACTCCTCTATATTCCCGATCCAAACCCTAGGTTCCTACACAAATTCAGATTCAATTCTGAAGTTGGCGAGGGTCTCCGCTATCCAACACGAAACACGATGGACAAGAGATCCAGAGCGATTCAAAACCTGAACTGCGTGAAGAGACTTTGGGTTGGCACACGCCTCTGTCAGTCGAGTTAGCTTCGTTGAGGTTTCATAAGCGAATTCCGCTTCCTGTCAATTAAAGTAGCTCCTCAGCCTTTATGGAGCATCTTTCTGGGCAGTAATATATCAGCAATTCCCAACCGGTAGTAATTAAAGCACTAAGCGCTGCGGAAAGAGCCTCCAGTTCTCATTTTCCCACTGCTACTCTACAGTCCTAACTGGAAAAAATAGTATTGGCATTGGACAGCCAAAAATGAACCTTGTTTATTTCAAACAGAGAACTCCGTGAAAAGACGAAGCGGTTCGTCTTGTCCTCACTCTGAATATTCACTTTCATTAATAGCGGGCTTACATGTTAAAATAATACTGGTTGGAAATGGTGTGGTGTTTAAAGCCTGTTTTACACGATCATTTTTCACTGGTACAGAAAAGATACAGACCAGTCACCATTTGTACAAAAAAATTAAGCATGCTTCATTTTTCAGTACATATTTAATCCTGTTTGACTACCGCGCTCCTGGAGGAACTTTGCGGAACTTCTCAGTTCGGTTATGCCTGTGGAGCGATTTGTTTAATTTGTAGTTTCGAGAGCTGTTGAATTATGATGTGAAGTGATTATGTAGCGAGAAATACATTATGTACTGTATTCTAATATCGCATCCGTGCTTAGTCCTAATATAACCTAACTTAATTTGTTACCATAGATGCGATGTCAAACTTTTTGAAGTTCAACCCTATTTTCGGTGTCCAGAGGAAGTATTTTCTTCAAGATTACGAACAAAGATAGAAATGACTGTGTAAAACGCTAGATTCACTATCATCCAGTTTCGAATTGAAACATACTGGGTAGAAGAAACGAAATCCTTTTTCCAACCACTTCCTGTACAGAAAAAATGATGAAAAAGAATGAAAAAATGACTAAAATAGGCTTAAGACATTGGTATTATTATAGAAATGGATATGAGGCGTTGTTTTGTCGTAGGTGCAGTTTTCTTGCAAAATACACACCTAGGGCAAATCAACTCCTCCAATCCATTTCTATAAAATAATACTGCTCAAAGGCCACTGTCACATAAAGCTTTATTAGCCCCGAGGGTGGAAACCCCGCAAATCGACGAGTCGTATGTATGTCATGTCCCAGCTGACAAGAAACGCCGCCACCTCCTAGGTCATAATTCACGCCTTATTTTACGTGGCGAGACTCGTCTGGCCACCAGGTCCGCTCTTCCGTCTGTCCACGCAAATTTTGTTACTAGCCTTTCATCATCTACCGGTGAGAAGGTGTCACTCGGACGACGAAACAAGCGATTTGAATTTATCAGAGGCTTCTTTTAGGAGCTTCAGGATCTTTCACGTGCAGTAAATCCACAACATGGGACAGCCAGTTTCACTTCCTGTTGTAAGGGAGGCGTACGAAGGTTTTTCGTCGCACTCAAAAATCCACGGCTTCGATCGGGTGTGAAACCGCAAACTTGACAACAACAGCCCTATTTAGTAATCTTTATACCATCGAAGCCGCGGGTTGTAGCATGCACTACACCTACGGAACCGAGCCAAGTGGCTCATGGCGTAGCGCTGACTTCGCATTCGGTTCAATCCCCGTGCCGGCCATCCTGGCCAGTGTTTTCGTGGTTTCCCTTTGTCATTCAGGCGAATGCTGGGATGGTTCTACTGAAAGACCACGACCGCAAAACAGACGTCGCTAGCCGAATTCGTTACCCACCTGGTTAAGCGAATTCTATTTATCGCGGGTTCCTAGATGGGTGACCAACTAAGAACCCCGGGATCGAACGGCGCCGAAGACAATTGCTTTTATGAGACACACTGGCTAAACTGGCTAACCAGTGATCTAAGTCAGGAGTGTCCAACTTGCAACGCTTCAAGTGCCACAAGTATGACCTTTAACATGATTGCGGGCCATACTTACATCGGGCGATCCAAACTTGACCCCGTATTGTTGATCTCCGTTTATCTGCAGTTTACCCGACTTCTCTGAAACGGGGGGGGGAAGAGGCAAGGTATCAGGCCGTACTATAACGCATAACTACGTTGGGATGATTTTAAAATTTTCAATTTACCAGAAAAAAGTTCTTAAATCTAAGCTTAACCGATTTTTATATTAAGCGCATGATGACAACAGACCTGCGTGCGCTAGGCACACAATATTTTCACTCGACATGGATGTAAGGGACTTTCACTTTTGACTAATAACCTTTTGTGCGGGCCACAAAGAAAGGCACCGCGGGCCACATGCGGCCCGCGGGCCGCCAGTTGGACATCCGTCATCTAAGTCGAGGCGCTGGTGCGCAGGCTGTTCGGTCAAGCAGGCGGCTGCCCCGTGGGGAAGCTACGCCTCAACGAGTGGATGGACACCCCTGTGGCCGTGGTGCAGCCGCCCGAGCGCCTGGACCAGCTGCTGCTGGGGCTCAGCACGCAGCCCATGCTCAAGGCCGCCCGCTGGATCACGGAGGCGGTAAGATACGGGCGGTAAGCCCCACACGCGAACGCTCTGGCGTGCGAGCTAGGGTTTTTTTTTTATCGAAAAACGGCTGAAGTACCACAACAGTGTATCATCGGTACAAGAAAAGAAATAATATCAATCATTTTTAAAGTAAAAATCTTCACTTTCAACATATTAAATACGTATGTTTTGAAACTAGTATGGTTTACAATTAAAAACTCCAAAGTTCTCCAGAGACGATACCTAGAATAAAATACTTGTTTTTAGTAATTGTTATATACATAATTTTCTACATATTGCCAACTATTGGGGGACGTTAGAACTAATCTTGTTGGTCGAAATAATCAAATATGTGATGTAAATGTTCAGGCTAGTTATCAAAAAAATAATCGCGTGTGGGAGATGCAGGGTTTTGAGTGATGTTGCCATCGAGTCTTCCACATTAACACTGTCAAGTGATAATGTGATGGTGACGGTTTACAGCTTTGATGGTGATGAAAGCATTAAGATTACGTACGAAACGTCGGCAACATTACATCAAATGTCATTGATTTCTCTAAAGAATTCTTCGTGAACATAAGGGCGAGATTGGAGAGACATTCTCTGAAAACTGATGATCATGTTAGGGCAAAGAGTAGGAGTGCTAGATTTGCTCATTTGAATGTAAATATTATTTCTTTCATAGTAAAAGAATCAATTGGCCACGGACTTTAATAATAATTTAACCTCTATCGATCTTTCCCGAAAGATACTTGACCTGATTTAGAGGTTAGTGCGTCTCATCGACTGATAAGCCTTGATCTCTCACCATGTGCTACGAAGTAAAGGTAGATGTAGCGAGTATACAAAATTAAACGTGCGTTTTATGCAATTTTCGAAATCTCGTGGGTACATTTCTATTCTAAACTGTGGATTAGGACAGCAATAATTTTATGAACAGTCGGCATTTTTGTTTAAAGAAGACTGAAAAGAATGCAGAGTGATGGGTGTTAATTAAAATATAACAGTATAAATTCTTTAAAACATTATGCAAGTTGAGAAACTGATTAAAGGAATGACTCTAAACGACGGCTTTGTGTCCTTAACCAAGTAATGTTAAAATCGTTAATTATTTAGGTGATATAACTATCGTACAACGCCTCTGACTCGGCTTTCACACTCGCTCCATTCAGTGTTTTATCAAAGCAACCTGCGACATATCTGCCACCTGACTTCCTTTTCTCATCTGTGCTCCTTGGTTGAAATCCTCCTGCTCACATCGAAGATTTGATGGTGAGCAATTCGTGTTCAAGGCAAATTTGAAAAAGCTACTTCATCTTCCTCACTTTCCCTCTCCGCCAATCTTTCCACTTTGATTTTCATTATAAGTTATCACACACATTTCATAAACACCCTCCACAACACTGAAAACGACGAGTTTGTCTCGATTGGTGGTGCGGAAGAGGTCTAACCCGGACGGACGAACGGACGGATGGACGGACGGACAAAGGTTAATATTTTAAGATTTATAGATATAAAAGGATCTCTCTTCGCTCGTTTTCCGCATAAATGTTTGGCTTAAGATTATTCCGAAATTTCACTTACAATTTCTCCGCCCTACGTTCGAGCACATACTTAAAAAAATAAAATCACCGGAGACAAGTTCAAGAGACTCTCACTGCTGGACCACACGGTATGTGGTTTTCCATTCCCTTGCCTAGTTTCTCTTCACAAGAACGCATCTTTGCTTCAAGGTGCTGGTTTTTCCTTTAATATTAAGGAACAATAAAATAACCTTCAACAAGGAGAAAGGTATTAAACAGTTTCTAAAACTTCACGCAACGGAACTAATACAATGTTTAAAAACATTTGCCAAAGATTAAAGCAGTTTTCTCACCATAAGTGATTTCGTGACTTTTGTTTTTAATTACATTTAGTGGCAAAGTTCGTAAAATCAGAATACACGTATCAATGCGGTTGCCTCTCCGGGCTGATTTCCTAATTCGTAGTTAAACACATTTCTCGTTCGTCAAACTGACGAGCATGTTTTATTGATAGTTGCGACAGCTCCGTAGACAATTACGTAGTGCTGCTCCCCGAGGAAGATTGAAAAACTAGAATGACTCATGGCGTTTACCGACACTCACTTTTCGGTGACGACCGCCAACCGCATACGTTAAGCAAACGCTCCGAAGCTTTCCGTTCGAAACGACGCACAGTGGGCTAGAATGTCGAAAAGGTGATCAAATTCAAACACTACCAAAGTTCACACAAATTGATAATTTGGGTTTTCCAATTTCATTAATTAAGAATTTGACACCACAAATAACTAAAAATGTCGTATCCAATCTGCCAGTTCAAATTTTAAAATTAGAGCGAGAAAAATTATGAGTTCATGAATTGAGCCAGTAAAATTATCAGACCGATTATGTGCTATATTCAAGCTACGCATTGTACAGTGTATTTTTGCATCTGGATTTTAAAACGGATTGTTGGTGTAAATCAGTGTAAAAGTAAACTGGTGTTAGTGTATAATTCATTGGTGATACCCTTGCGAAATGTCATGGAATATGTAGTATATCTCTGACATTTATTTTAATAAAATGTTTCATTATTTTATTTAATAAATACACAGTTTATGTTGTATTACACAATTAATTGAGGATTAATATTTACGTATTACCTTCTAAATCACCCTCCATTTTCAATTTTTCAACTCTGACCGCGCATGACAAAGATATTGCAAGTAGTGTTACGTAATGTATATGTCGTAGATATGTGCAAGTACCTAGTTAAGTTAGTCTGGCGCCGCTCAGAAAGGAGTGCGTTTGACCCGAAACCTAACCTTAACTTTGGGAGTTTCTATGAACGGAATTTTATAACCCCAACATCACTACAGCAATCCTGTTCTTCGATTTACTTAGAGCTTCGTTTGACAGATCCTCAGGTGTTTCGGTGTCGTCCAATCGGGAGCTGACAAGTCACTACACCCCCTCCTCCGATAACCGAGGCCAGAAAGCGAACTAAATAAGATCAAACGACAAAGACGTAACAACTACTGACCCACTACGAACTCAAGAAGAATCCGACAAAAATATTCCCTTCCCTTTCTACACCCCGTACCACTCCCCTTCCACATCATTTCCCCTCCTTTCCCCCCTTGCCAAGCCCCCTAACAAAACAACCCGTCACTCCACCACCCACACTTCCAACCCCCGTCCCTGTACTGGGCGGAGGGGACGCAACACACCACGCGACAAAATCCACACGGACGAAGAGTCTCAAATAAAAGTCAGGCGTACAACAAACGCCGTAGTTTCTATTCTGTTGCCTTAGTGACCCCGAGGTAACGAGAACCAAACGATCTAAACTTAATAGAGGTGTGAAGTAGGATAAATTATGTTTGATATAAAAATATTGTAACGTTCAACCTCTCGATTGGATGAAACCTTCACTTCTGATTCACATGAACTGAAACTATGTTTAAATCCAAGTATACAAGTAGCCAATTCTGAACCAGAAACTTTTTGGCTACGGTTTTGACATTCGGCCCACCGGGCGGGGCGGGGCAGGGTAGGGTGGGGTGGGCGGGGCGGGGCGGGGTGGGGTAGGCGTGGGGTGGGCCGGGGTTGGGGTGGGGTGGCGCGTCAGCGCGCACGGGGCCAGGCAGAGCGCGGATCGCTGTCTCGAGAAAAACGTGTGGGCGTCAGCATCGCTAATGGCCCGTCAACCCGATCGACCGCCCGGGACTTCGTCGCACAGTGGGTCGCGCTCTCGCCTTCGTCACCCTCCTCTATGTGCAAATCCCGGTGGATCCAAAATCCGGTGTGCAAAATGATGCAATACTATGGAATACTCCACTTTTGTTGTCTTTTTGCCTTTGTTCCGGCCTGGATTCTATTGCCGTTCAGTACACACTCCACTGCGCGGAAGAGTTACGGTTCACCGTAGCCTTTCAGCTTCTTATGACTGTCGCAACTTTTCAACAAAAAAAACTCAAATAATTTTGAAAATCCAAGAACCAAACGATCTAAATTTAATAGAGGTGTAAGGTAAGATATATTGTGTTTCATAAACAACCTATTTTAATCACGATGTGAATTTCGATTGTGCAGAATTTATAACAGCCATATTCTGAATGTTATGATTATAATAGATTAACAAATATACCTAATTTAGTCGCTGATATTAGATTCATGGATTTATTTTGACTAAGGAAAAGGGTGTTACAAAAAACAGAGAAAAGAGTATGCTTTGTAACGAAACCTACAAACATAATGCAATAATTTAATAATCTAATCACACATCTATTAGCAATCATCTTTGAAAGAAGCGAGTTTTCTTGAATCTAAATTGAACGATAATCTTGGTTCCCGGGATGTTTCTCCTCTCCATCCCACTCTAATTGTCGTTCAGCGAGAACTTCGATGTCACGAAATGCGTTTCCGCAGCTGGGCGAGCACCTCTTCGAAACGGACCGGGACCCGGGCCAAGACCTGGGCGCGTTCGACATCCAGCGCGGCCGCGACCACGGCCTGCCGCCCTACTGCGAGTACCGGAGGAAGCTGGGCGGGCGCTGCTGCAGGTCCTGGCGGGACCTCGAGGACTACATCGACCCCGAGGTAAGACCCATCGGCTCGCATTCATTGATTATGTTTGTTATTGACCCATAACTTGGGGTTTATCCCAATAATTTTATGCACGTCTTTTGTGTATGAAAACGATTAGCCTCGCATCCTTCCTGACAAGTGACCTTCCGGGAGAGGTGGCTCCGAGCATCATCTAGTGTCACAGCAGTGTGACTGGGAGGTTCGACTCCCGAAGTTGGCAAGTCTTTCGACACTACCTACATAGCTAGGTCAAATTCAGTCGCTGTCAGGAGAATTCTAGCGGCCGGCTGCTCTAATCGATAGTTTTCTGTGGATTCTCTGATCAATAACAGAGGAATTCCGGAGGAGTTCCCTTAAAACAGGCCACGGGGATTGCGCGATCTTTCCTACCCCCACCCCTTACTTACACACACATACTCACTTGCACTACACTATCACACTCGTCGGGAGCTTAGAGCTAGTCGATGCCCGGCGATGCCCAGCTGGTGGGAGATACCTGGTTGGAGAAAACCCTGCTAGATGACTTTTAGGTCTGCGCCGGATCTTACCATCCAACAGAGGGATCACCACCACCACCTCCCATAGAAAAATCACGCACTTCACTTACGGGATTAACGGCCCTGGCTGAAGCCGCGCCCGGAATCAACCAAACGACGGCGTAACGATGGTGTAACGGCCAGCGTATCGGACTGTTATACCCACGTTGGCGGGTTCAAACGTGATCGCGCCGTGGATTTTTAAGGGCGAAAAAATCCTTCATACGCCTTCCTTCGGAGGGGAAGTAAAGTCGGCTGTCCCATGTTAGTATATTTACTTGCATTTAAAAGATCCTTAAGCTTAAATGACGCCTTTGAGCTAAATTCAAATCACCTGATTCTCGAGAAGCACCTGCTTTCTCTGCTAGTTGGTGAAAGGAGCGTAGCGTGGCCTAGTGGCCCGAGTCTCGCCGCATAAAATAAGGCATCAATTCAATTCAATTCAACGACCGACCTACCCATCGCGACACCTCGGTAGTCTCCGGCGTCCGAGACAGTTCGGTGCCCCTCTCACCCATCGACTGGACGAACACACCACAATGATACCAAAAAACGAACAAAAAAACAAGAGATAAAATTCACTATCTAATGGAATTAATAAAGTTCATAGTGATGTTCCAAGCGTATTCGTTGATCACATAACTTGGTTGGGGGAATGTAAAAGAAAGCAGAAACAATTTATTAACACCTATTTATCCATAGTTCAAGTACCCAGCATTGCTCGAGTATTTTTTTCAATATATTAAAAAAACAAATATTTCTTCCAGAATATCCCTACCAATATCTGCCTGCCTCATCTGTCAAGAACTGCTCTATTCCCCATTCTCACCCTGTCCCACATTCACGCTGGTCAATTCTCTGGCAGTTTTCGAAATATTTGCGAAAAACAAAGAGTGGACACTTTAATTTTGCTGTATAGGATTGAAAAGAGTAATATTAACAAAGTTTATGAAATTTTATTTATAGAATAACTTCTCTTGTTTAGAAGGTCATGTTTACAAAATTTCATTAAGATCTGAATAAATTTGTAGATCTGAATAAAAAAATACACACTTTCTTTTTCACTAAGAATTTTTTTTTTGATGTAGCCCGAGTTGTGCCCACCAAATGCAGAGTCTTTGTGTAAAATCCTAATCAAAATGAATTCAGTAGTTTCAGAGATTACCCCCGCACATTCAGGCAGACAAATCTCGTTAAAATCAATTGGATTGGTTTTTGTATCATCTAAGTAAGTATACGAGATAATGAAATGATATTTATTTTGAAATCAGATTAATTATTTATAAATTAGTATAAGTAGTACACTGGATACACTCTGTGAGTGAACATTTGGACGGTTTAACCTTCTCCAATTATTCGTCCTCTCGAGATAAAAACTGAAGTTCTACAGACTCTATAGAATTTATTCCTTTTCATTTTTAATGTCACTCAAAATGAAAAATTCTGACGAAAAAAAGTAAATTAGGAAATTCTCTTAAAGAAAGGTACCTAACCGATGCGGTGCACACGCTTAATTTTTGCATTGCTGAGCACTAGTAGTAATTGCCATTCGTACTAATTTACGTAAATTACGTAATTATTTGAATTCTCTTTGTAGCATAATGAAGAAACGATAGAAAATATGAAGAGAAATGTGCTGCACCAATTGTCATTTCGCACCATTACGATCATACCTGTCAGTCCTTAGAGTCCGTCCTTCAGTCTTCCAGAGTCCCTCAGATACATTAGTTACGAAACCAGTGTAATACATAGTAGTATATATTTCCCCAAATCCGTATTGAACTTAATTTGTGTACGGCGTAGGTGGCTCAGAGCACTAAATGATGATACTGCAGTGCCTCTGACCTGGCGGTTCTAGGGTTCGAGTCCTGACAGTGGTAGGATTTTCGCCGCAAGCTAAATAACTTTGTCGAATTCAGTGTATGTCTAGAGGAGAATTCAAGTGGCCAGCTTCTGTGATCGGCAGTCTTCCGTGGTTTCTCCTATCAACACCAGGCGAATGTCGAACCAGTACCCTAACAACGGGCCACGGACCGGGCGCGATCCCACCTTCCTCTTCCTTATCCTATCCTCACCCCTTACACTAACAAGCACTACACTACCACACACGCCGGGAGACCCGTCGGGAACTTAGAGCTTGTCCCAGCTGGGGCGGTGCCCCGCTGGTGGGAGATACCTTGTTGGTGAAAACCGTAACCCGGCGCCGCATCTCTCCATCCGGCGGGGTAAGATCACTGCCACCTCACACGATAAAAACATACACCACACTTTCAACTCTAATGACCCTAGCGGGCTCCGCGCCCGGAGTCACCCATCAACCAATCAGCGAAGCACGTGGCGTTGCGCAGGTGGTGCAGAAGATGCGCAAGGTGTACCGCGACCCGCGCGACGTGGACCTGTACGTGGGGCTGTTCCTGGAGCGACCCAACGGCTTCGCGCTCACGGGCCCCACGGCCGTCGCGCTCAACGTGGAGCAGTTCTGGCGCTGGAAGCACGGCGACCGCTTCTTCTACGACTTCGGCGGCCAGGCCGGCTCCTTCACGCCGGGTGAGTCCGGGCGGCGGCCCGCGGCGGACCCCTCGGGGCAATTAATCGCACGAGGACAATCGATCGAAGCTTCACTTCGCGAAAACAATATAGTAAGCAGCGGAAGTAGATCAAAAGAAGAGTTTAGAACAACTGCTCTCGAGACAATAAAATGAAGTGTAGACCCAAACATTTACGACTATATTTATTTGCACATTCATTAAAAGGCATTGCTAAATGTAATCAACCTAACAAGTGGCGGAAGGACCTCCAAATTAGCGATACTACTATTCAGTCAGACATGGATTATAGGGAATACGTTTCCTGATTTTTGGTAACTATTTTTTTAATGAATTTTGTTTTGACTGCTTGTCTAATAGACTGTCACAGCCAGGAATCGGATTCAGATCGACCCGTGTACGCCGTTGTACTATTGATCCCCTTATAAGCCTGATTTTTGTCAATATTACAATATGAGACTGCCATGGATCCCTTCAAAAGAACGAGATAGTAACTTCTATTGGAACTCAAGCATAAGGTGACCAGTAAACAAAGTGCTTTAAAGAGTTCAATTACACTTACGGCGACAATTTATAATTCACTATTAGCATCTAGATTCTCGTCTATTACTCGACTAGGCAAATTAATTATACTTACTCTTTCAATATAATGAGAGGTAAGAAGAGAGAATTTTAGTGCAAAATTTAAATTATGAATATCGGGAATCATGAAAAATAGTACAAAGCACCGTCCGGTTCTCGACAATTTCCACATGTAGCGACGGGACAGTGGACCCCGACATCCAGATGGGAAGCCGAGCGCACTGAGCCATTACGGAGGAGTTTCACAGGAGGCGGATTTCTCAGCCAGACGGTTTGTGAATTTGAGCAATGCGCCTGTAATAAGCCTGCCGGTTTACAACGTTAAGTGCAAATCTGAAAGTTGGAATTCGTCTGATGAACGATATATGCGATTTAATGCACAAATTATTAGCATTATTATTACAAATAAAGATAGCACGACTACGAAGTGCTGAAATCCGACTTCTGATATCAGTGGGTGTTTATAAGCAGATGGACAAGAAAAGGAATTTAGAAATTCGTAATGAACTTGGGGTATTTAATTCTTCAAGAGAAAACCAATTACTACCGAAATTCTTGGACCCAGCACATTGAAAGGATGCAAGGCAACCGCCTGCCGAAATGGGTTTTAGGATTTTAATTAAATAACACTGCAAAATCACGTTGTCGGAGGACAATTCAGATGTTCTACTTTAATGTCATTGACGTCTTAATTCATTTTGTCTACCCAATTTTTGCACTACATTTAAGAATACTATACCCATAAAACCAAAACATTTTGATAATTTCATTATAACCAGTTTCACAACAATTCTTACATACTATATTAACGAAATATTCATCAAACAAATGCCAACATGCAGGTGTATGATTTTTCTTTTTTTTAACGTTACGTAGGAACATCAGTGTTTGCGATATATCAACTATTACCATCAGAAACAATCACATATTTTGTGAAGTCTTAAAAACATTTCAGAAGTTAGTCTGCCAAGTTCATGGTTTAGTTAACATTTAAAAGTGAAGTGTAGATCATATCAATAAGAACCTGCGGAACATTCCCAAATGAAGTTTGCACGAATGCTACTTTGAATCACGTTGCCTTTTGATCAGAATATACATCTCATAAAATAATTTCTAATCATTATTTTGAAACTACTACCTTTTGTAAAACTACTTTTCTTAAAATTGTAGCTCAACTATGTGAAATAAAGAAAGCGACAGCATCAAGATTGTTCTGTGACAACGGAGACAGCATTACCTCCGTACAGCGCGACCTCTTCGTACAGCCAGGTTTTCTGTAAGTATAACTCAAAGTAGATAAATAAACTAATGTAAACTGTTAGTATTTATGACATACTTTATGATTAAT